TCCAGATCAGCCTGGGAAACATGGCAAAACCTTGTCTCTACCAGAACTACAAAAAAATGAGCCAGGCATGATGGCACTCGCCTATGGTCCCAGCTACTTGGGAGTTTGAGGTGGGAGGATCACTTGAACCCAGGAGGAGGTTGAAGTGAGCTCAGATCACACCACTGCACCACTGGGTGACAGAGTGGGACCCTGTCTGAAAAAAATAAAATTAAGTGAAAAAACATTATCAGACAGTAAAATATGAACCCAGAGTGCCTGTCAAGTCACTGCAGGTCTGAGTGTATATCAAGGTTTAACTCTACGCAATGAAAGGCAGGCATGAATCTTTGGCTTGGGTTGACAAGTCTAGACTCAAGCCTCAGCTTTCCCACTCACTAACTTGGTGACCTTGGAAAAGTCACTTATACTCTCTGAACATATTCATAAAACGGAGATACATTTCATTTGCCTCTTGCAAGAAAAAGTACTGATAAAGGCACATTAGCATCCCGTTTTACACAGAACATTGAGAGAAAGATACTATCCTAAGATCATGGAGTTAATAACCACCAGAACCTAGACTCAATACTTTTTGGAACTTCAAATCTCATGCTTTTCTCATTACACTTAATTACTCCATTATGTAGGAGCATGGGAGAGTTGAGAATATTTCAAGCGGTTATGCAAAGGACCAGCTCTGCGGAGTAGGCTTAGTAAGTAATCTGCGCAGCGGAGTGGGAGCGCTCAGACAAGAAGGGAAGTTTCACGTTCGCCGTGTGTCTCTGATATTTCCGCTTCTGTAGGGACGAGAAAGCGCAGTTTCGCCTTCATCCCTTGACCTCCAACACAGCTTCTCCACTGGACCATCGGGGTCGATTGGGGAAGGATGTCAGAGAAACTGAAGTTGATGTTGACTCCTAGGGTTTTAAGGAGGGAGCAAAGTTCTGAGAGGGCGACGTATCGTCCCTGCTCACCTAGCCCAGAATGAACAAACAGGCGCCAGCCAGGGAGCAGCGAGCCGAGAATCCGGATGAGCCTCGGCAACCGCCATTGGCAGTTTCTCGCAAAGACTACCGGGACCATAATGCAACGGGGCGCCGAGTCCATTCCCAGTGAGCAGCGGGCGAGGCGCCACCGACCGCGGAAGACTACAAGCCCCAGCGGGCGACGACTCGACGCGCCCGGGAACACCGGCCCCGCGCAAAGGCAGTCCTCCACGGGACAAGATGGCTGCGTCGGGGGCGGAAGTGGAGGTGAGCAGGCGCTAGGGCCGCGCGTCCCCGCCGGCGCTTTGTCCAGCGCCTTGCGGGCCCCGCAGAAGGCGCTCGCCTCCTTGACCAGCAGATGCGTGTCGATTTTCTCGCTGTGGCAACGGGGATGTCCCGATAGAACCTCTGCCCGTTAGGCAACTCCGGCCTTTCCCGCCCTGACCTGGAACCTCTGGGGGGGCTGCAGAGTAAGTGCAGCCTCTGCGCTCCAACGGAGGCACGAGGCTGGTGGAGTAGGTCCCTCTGTTCAGACAGGTGCGACACTGGGCGCTCCATGCCTGCGGGCGCGGGGAGGCATGGCCTCCCCCAGGGCCGCCGCCTCTGCTGGTTGCTCTGTGCTTTCACCTTAAAGCTCTGGTAAGGAGAGGGTAATGGGAGGGAAAGGGAGGTCACTGGAGGACAGGATCGTTCCCGGTCCCGGGGTTGGGGGAGACCTTGTCCATGGACAGAGAGGAAGGGGGTGCCCTATTTTCTGCATTTTGACTTTTGCCCCTTCTCCCCACTCCGCTACAGCCAAGCAGAGGCTCCAGTGCAGGAGGAGAAGCTGTCAGGTGGGTGATTGGGAACCGGACACTTCCGTCGTTTGTTTTGGTTTTAGTATTTTCACCATATACCAAGAGCAAAGGTGGAAAAGGGCGGCTCTACATGGAATGAGGGCAAGCCCTGTGCTGGGAAGTTAGATGGGCAGAGTCTTTGGGAGAAATGTTTTCGGAATGGTCAGGGGTTGGCATTTCTCTTTCCTTTCAGTGAGCACCTCAAATTTGCCATGCTGGCTGGTGGAAGAGTTTGTGGTGTCAGAAGAGTGCTCTCCATGCTCTAGTTTCCAGGCTGTGAGTGTTCTACATTTTTTTTTTTTTTTTAACATTTAAACAGCCCCCAAGTCTTATTAAGCTGCCTTTGCATCATCTTTTTTTCCTTCTCCTTGCAGTCTCAGTGTATGTCCAAATCTGTACTTGTGTTTCCCCCGAAATATGCCCCTTTCTTTCCAAGCTAATGGCAGTATTCAGCTGATAACTATGTTGTTGTTTTTTTTTTTTTTTTTTTTTTTTTTTTTTTTGAGACGGAGTTTCGCTCTTGTTACCCAGGCTGGAGTGCAATGGCGCGATCTCGGCTCACCGCAACCTCCGCCTCCTGGGTTTAGGCAATTCCCCTGCCTCAGCCTCCTGAGTAGCTGGGATTACAGGCACACGTCACCATGCCCAGCTGATTTTTTGTATTTTTAGTAGAGACGGGGTTTCACCATGTCGACCAGGATGGTCTCGAACTCTCGACCTTGTGATCCACCCGCCTCGGCCTCCCAAAGTGCTGGGATTACAGGCTTGAGCCACCGCGCCCGGCTATGTTGTTGTTTTTGAGACGGGAGTTTAGCTCTTGCTGTCCAGGCTGGAGTGCAGTGGTGCAATCTCAGCTCACCACAACCTCCGCCTCCCCATTTCAAGCCTCCGCCTCCCCATTTCAAGCTATTCTCCTGCTTCAGCCTCCCCAGTTGCTGGGAGTACAGGCACGCCACCACGCCTGGCTCATTTTTGTATTTTCTTTTTATTTTTTCATCCGTGTTTTTTTTTTTTTTTTTTTTTTGGGGGGGGCCCACCCGCAACTGTCTTGATCGAGTTATATGTATTTTCAGTAGAGATGGGGTTTCACTATGTTGGTCAGGCTGAAACTCCTGACCTCAAACGATCCACCCACCTCAGCCTCCCGAAGTGCTGGGGTTACAGGCGTGAGCCACTGCGCCTGCCTCAACTGATAACTATGTTTCATTCATTTTTAGTATAGTATGCTCTGGAACGGAATGTATCCCTGCCTCTCCTAGATTATTGCCCCTGAAGTGTTCTAACATTTGTAATCATGCAACCACCACCTCCACCATCCACATCAGAACTCTTTCATTAGTTCTCTGTTACCTACCAACTCCAAACCATAGCAGTTGGGCATCTGCACCTTTTTGCATCTCCCGTTGCCCCTTCCTGATATGTGCTTTGGTCCTTTTCTCCTGGCAGAAAACTACTCCTGAGTGTGGTCCCACAGGGTACGTGGAGAAAATCACATGCAGCTCATCTAAGAGAAATGAGTTCAAAAGGTGAGTGCCGTTTTTCTTGGAGATCACCTTCTTTCTTCCCATGACTTTACGTAGATGGTCACACCTTTTCCCCTGGTCTGGGGTTAGCATGAAATATTTGAAAGAAGAGGGGGCTGGGCACAGTGGCTCACACCTGTAATCCCAGCACTTTGGGAGGCCGACGCAGGCAGATCACGAGGTCAGGAGTTTGAGACCAGCCTGACCAACATGCTGAAACACTGTCTCTACTAAAAATACCAAAAAACTTAGCTGACTATGGTGGTGCATGCCTGTAATCCTAGCTCTTCAGGAGGCTGAGGCAGGAGAGTCACTTGAATCTGGAAGGTGGAGATTGCAGTGAGCCAAGATAGTGCCATTGCACTCCAGCCTGGTCAACAGAATGAGACTCTGTCTCAAAAAAAAAATAAAAAATAAAAAATTAGCCGTGTGGCATGCCGGGCGCCTGTAATCCCAGCTACTCGGGAGACTGAGGCAGGAGAATCCCTTGAACTTGGGAGGCAGAGGGTATAGCGAGCCGAAATCACACCACTGCACTCCACCCTGGGCAATGGAGTGAGACTGTGTCTCAAAAAAGAAGAGGCCGGGTGCAGTGGCTCACGCCTGTGATCCCAACACTTTGGGAGGCCAAGGCAGGTGGATCATAAGGTCAAGAGATTGAGACCATCCTGGCCAACATGGTGAAACCCTGTCTCTACTAAAAAAAAAAAAACAACTACAAAAATTAGCTGGGTGTGGTGGCGCACGCCTGTAATCCCAGCTACTCAGGAGGCTGACGCAGGAGAATCTCTTGAACCCAGGAGATGGAGGTTGCAGTAAGTTGAGATTGTGCCACTGCACTCCAGCCTGGCGACAGAGTGAGACTCCATCTCAAAAAAAAAAAAAAAAAAAAAAGAAGAAGAAGAAAAAAAGACCATATTTGAAGCCAAATTATTTGAACCCAAGTCCCAGCTCTACTCCTCAGCACTATGTTATTGGCCATATTTTCTCATCAGTAAAATTGTAGTTCATACTAGCTCTGCTTATTCTACCAGAGAATAAATTAAATGATCTATGAGAGGAATTTATGTACTACACACATAATAGAAGCCTGGCTGTGATTTCCTTCTGAATGTATCCTGGCTTGGCCGAAGTGGAAGGGAGATTAGACGGAGAAGCTCTCCGGCCTTCCTCAGGAATAACTACTCCTTCCTGCCCTCAGCTGCCGCTCAGCTCTGATGGAACAACGCTTGTTTTGGAAGTTCGAAGGGGCTGTTGTGTGTGTGGCCCTGATCTTCGCTTGTCTTGTCATCATGCGTCAGCGACAGCTGGACAGAAAGGCTCTGGAAAAGGTCCGGAAGCAGATCGAGTCCATATAGCTACATGACCATATACCCTTTTATCCTGGGTCTTAGAGACCCGATCTCGGACAGTGGAAGTGAAATGGACTGATTTGCACCCTTGCTTCTTTGCAGCCTTGTGATGATAGCCCCTTTTCCCCATCTTCTTCTAGATCATTAATGAGCAGAATAAAAAGAATAAAATAGTTTCCTTCCCTTCTGTAACTTGGATTAGGAAGTCATGAGGGCAGAGAGGGAAAGGAGGCAGCTACTTAAGGCCCCCATCTACCAAGTCTTCCCCACCACTTTCTCCTTGTTCCCCGCCCCCCTTCTACTTATTTCAAACTTCTGGGATACAATTTTAGTTAAAACATTTATTTATCACTCAAGACTTACTTCCCCTCAACTCTGTCCCCAAAGAAGAAATAAAATCACAGATACACAACGAAAGTATTTGAGGTACCCTCTCATATATGCAGACTGGGCCTCAGGCAGAGAGAGACTAAAAGGCATCTCCTGGGGTGTCCTGACGTGATTTGGACCCCTTAGGGCAGACACCTGAGTAGGAATCCCAGTGGGAAGCAAAGCCATAAGGAAGCCCAGGATTCCTCCTTGTGATTGGGAAGTGGGCTGGGAAGTTGTTCCAGCTCACATCTCATCTGCATGCAGCATGTTCCCAATGTGCCCACTGGGTCTTGGCTTCCCTCCCATCTTCTCAGCCAGTGTCCTCGCTGAGGCATTTGCATCCTTGGCTCCAGGTGGCTCCCTCAGTCTGGACTCTGCCACTTGGGTCTCCAGATTTTCTGTTACATCCTTGTGGGTCAGGATATTTCTGGAAGTCACTGTGAGGTGAAGGAAAGAAGGCACTAGTAGAGTGTTCCCCTGGGCGGGAGACCCTAGACAGGACAGGACCTCCCTCTTGCTTCTTGAGGACCTTGGAGAACGGAGCCCCCTTCCCTTGCTCAGCAAGGGGTCGCTCTCTGCCCTTGCCTCTTACCTCCGTGAGGCTGGTAATCCTCAGGCCCAGCTTCTGGTCGACCCTGGAATGGACTGAAGCTGGGCAGGATGATGAGAGCCAGGGAAAAAAGAATCTGGGAGGAAGCAAGAAGAGTAGAAGGAGGGAGTAGGGCAGAGTGAACAGAGGCCAGCTGGGGTTACTGAATGTGGGAAGTAGATCTGGCCGGGAAGTGGGGGTGTAAGGATAGAAATGTGGGTGAGATGGTGGAGGTGGGGGGAGAAGGGAGTAGATAGACTAGTGGTACCAGAACACAAGTGCTGGTCTGAGCAGCTTTGTTGGAAGTTTGAGCAATTAGCATCTGCAGCTGGCGGAGCTGAGCTACCAAGGAGCTGGGAAAGGAGGAATAAAGAGTTAGGATCTTCTCAGGGGCCAAGAATGGTGCCCCTGTGTGCTGTACCCTCCCTGCCTTCAATACACACCCACACAGAGCTTTGACTCACATGTTGTGCCTCTCCAGCTCCTGGACTTTTTTCTGTAATTCTTGGTTCTGTGCAGAACAGGCTGCCACCCTAGAGTGTGGGGAGGTAGGACAAGACTCAGCAACCTGAGTCCCTTGTCTTGTCAGCTGTGGTGAGGAAGGGGGCCCAGACATGGTCCACAGGAAGCCAGAAGTAACCCAGGCATACCTGCTCTCCAGCCCATCAATGTACTCCTTCTTCCGCCGCCGACTGTCCTGAGCAGACTGCTTGTTACGGATTTTCCTCCTGACCTTCTTGAGGACCCTCTCCTCTGCCTGTAGGTCCAGGATGTGTGAATCCTGGGTCTCACCTGCCCCCAACTCCCCAACGCTTCTCCTGGGATATTGGCCCCTCAGAAGTCATGGTGAGGCCCTTGGGTTGGGATACCCTTAGGGGAAGCATGTTACCTTGGTGAGGGGCAGGTGAGAGGGCAGAGAAACCCCTTCCTGCCCCAGCAGACGCTTCTCCTCATCTGTCAGGAACAGGGTTTGACAGGGCAGCTGGGGGTAGGGGCAGGAGAAGATACAGTAGGAGTGAGGAGGAGGTCATCCCATTTCCAGGCTACTCCCCCTGCATGCCTTCTGAAGAGTGTTTCCTATTTGCACTGGGAGACAACTCTAACCTAGAGGTGAGGTGAGGGCTAGAGACCTTAATTCAGACAGGCTCTAGATCAAGCCAGAGCGACCTCCTGAAGCCGAGAAGGGAAAGAGGAGGGTCTTGTCATATCCTTCCCCCAGAGACTTAGGACCTTAGCACTCTGAGCAAGCTAGTGGAGGCTTGTTCTGGTCTATGTCTCCCCATACCCAAGGGGTATCTGAAGAGGACCTGAAAGAACTCACTGCAGTGAAGTTCGCTTAATTTCCTTACAGCAAGTACCATATTCACTTTCAGCCATTAACTTCCATTTAGCAGAGTGTGTCATCCAGCTGCCTGTCAACCACAGAGAGCTCCCTGGGGCAGTGGCCCATTCTCCCATAGGGTCTGAGCTCCACTTCTCAGACTGGGGTTCTGTCCCCTCTCATACAAAGACCTTCCCAAGGGCAGCCATACTTCTCACAGCAAATCACAGGAAAGGATGTAGGGAGAGTAGATAGTGCTGGTGGTTAACCTGAACCCATCAACTGAATAACTTGCCTTTCTCACTAGTATTTCTTTTTGAAAGATGTATGTGGCTCACACTTGTAATCACGGTCACGGTGGCTCACACTTGTAATCCCAGCACTTTGGGAGGCCAAAGCGGGCGGATCACCTGAGGTCAGGAGTTTGAGACCAGCCTGGCCAACATGGCGAAACCCCATCTCTACTAAAAATACAAAAATTAGCTGAGTGTGGTGGTGCACACCTGTAGTCCCAGCGACTCGGGAGGCTGAGCCAGGAGAATCGCTTGAACCTGGGAGGCAGAGGTTGCAGTGAGCAGAGATCATACCACTGAACTCCAGCCTGTGACAGCGAGACTCCATCTCAAAAAAAAAAACAAAAAACAAAAAACAAACAAACAAAAAAACCCACACAAAGATTCTAAGATGCTTGGCTTGGCTTCTTGAAGAGAGGCTAGGACCTGGTCCCTGCCTTTTGGGTACAGGGATTAATTTTCAGAGGAAAGGGAGGAACAGTGATCTGAGCACATCCCCCTCCTTACCCCACCTTGGACCCTGTCCAGCCGGCCTTCAGAAGGCGTCTGATGTGATACTTCTGCTACACTGTAGCACTAGACATGGGGTGCCTCTGGGCAACTGTTCCAGCGGAAACATTGCTGCTACTGCTTTTCTTCCTTCCTGTACCTAGTAACCAGTTGGGATTCCCAGGTGGCCTGTCCTATTTCTGTGTCCTGACCCAAGGCTGAGACAATGGCTCTGTATAAGAATACAACACACACAAAGTCTGCGCTTTTTCCTGCACCCTGTCCCCGGATTCCCTCACCGTACCTTACCTGAGTCGTTGCTACCTTACCCCCAAGGGCTCTCTCTCCCTTGTCCTTTTCCTGCTTCTAAAACTGTTCATGTTGGCTGGGCACAGTGGGTCATGGCTGTAATCCCACCACTTTGGGAGGCTGAGGCAGGCAGGACTGCTTGACCCCAAGAGGTTAGGATGCAGTGAGCCATGACTGTACCACGGCACTCCATCCTGGACAACAGAGTAAGACCCTGGCTCAAAAAATAAAAAATTGGAAGGCCACGGTGGGCAGATTACAAGGTCAGGAGATAGAGACCATCTTGGCCAGCATGGTGAAACCCTGTCTCTACTAAAAATACAAAAATTAGCCAGTTATGGTGGTAAGGGCCTGTAATCCCAGCTACTTGGGAGGCTGAGGCAGGAGAATCATTTGAACCAGGGAGTCAGAGGTTGCAGTGAGCCGAGAATACCCCACTGCACTCCAGCCTAGTGACAGAGCGACTCCCTCTTTTTATTTTTTTTGAGATGGAGTCTCACTCCGTTGCCCAGGCTGCAGTGCAGTGGTGAGATCTCAGCTCACTGCAACCTCTGCCTCCCAGTTTCAAGGAATTCTCATGCTTCAGCCTCCTGAGTAGCTGGGATCACAGGCATGCACCACCATGCCCAGCTAATTTTTTGTGTGTTTTTAGTAGAGATGGGGTTTCACCATGTTGGCCAGGCTGGTCTTGAATGTCTGACCTTGTAATCTACCCGCCTCAGCCTCCCAAAGTGCTGGTGTTACAGGCATGAGCCACCAAACCCAGTGGGGACTCTGTCTCCCAAAACATAAAAAATAAATAAAAATTAAAAATTGTCCAATCGTTTATGTCTCTTGGTCTTCAGGCCCAATGCCACAAAAACTGGGGCAAAGGCAGTTCATCATGTTTCCATTCCCTCATCCCTTTGCCCTGTCTTTGTGATTATATATGTATGTATCAAGGAGTAGTGGTTCTGGCAGACACCAAGACTCACCAGGGTTGTACAAGGCACTGGGGCTACGGTGCCTGCTCTGGGCAGGATGTGGGCATGAGCATCAAAGGGCAGCTCACTGACCATGCAGGCATCAGGCACCATAAATGCTGGGCTCCACTGATCTGCAGTAGACACAGGTAGCTGGGAGAAAGGAGACGTAGGGACACCCTGACAGCAGCAGGGTCTGGGTAGTGGCACAGGTTGGGTAAACCCCCTTAACCCCATGGTTAGGGCCAGTCCCAAAGGGCCATTATCCCCTTCCCACAAAGAACACTGACCTAGCTGGATGGAGATGAGGCCTACATTTGGCCCAGCTTCCTCCTGCATCTTCCCCAGGGCCCCTGCCTCATAGACAACCTCAAAGAGGGCAGGAGAACTGGTTGCTCTGGGGGCAGGAGGACTGTCTGGACGGCAGGGGTCCTCAGAGATGCCACTGTCACTGCCAGGAGATGCTTCTGAGCAGTATACCTCATTGGGATCAATGAAAAGCTTCAGGAAATCTTCAGGCTCACTCTCTTGAAGGCCCTACAGTAGGAAAAGGTTATATATATGTGCAGGGAGGTATTGTGGAAGTCCTACCTGACACCAGCCTTATGCTTCATTTTCAGTCCTTTCACTTCTTGGGTATGGAGATAGTTATTATACAACTTACATCTATTTTGGGGGTGATCCGTTTTCAAACCTGTCTCCACATGGGAGCTGAAGCCTCTTACCACAGAGTTGTGTCTCAACCCCACCCCCACTCGCACTAGTCACACTCACACAGCTATGGTCCCCACTGGACTTCCAGCCTTGCAATCCTTGTTCTTGTAGCCTAGTCACTGGAACCTCTGGAGGAGGGCAGTGGAGTCCCAGCTCCAGGACAGATCCTGTTGAGAAGATATCCTCTGGGGGCTCCAGCCACGTGTCCAGCAGGTCAGGGATTCCGAGATCCATGTTTCTGCAGGAAGGCATGTGGGACCAAGGGTTGCAGAAAGGGAATGATGGCTACTCCCTACCCCCTACAGCTTCTGGGCTCCTCTGCTCCCTCTTCCATTATCCAACCCCCTCCCCTCACTTGCACAGCCCCCTAACATGTCCCCTGGATATTTCACCTTCAGCCCTATCCCTCAGGTTCAGACAAACAGACCCTCCAAGCATTACCTGTTTTGAAGAGTCCAGCCCTGTAAAGCCAGCGTAGCCCGTTGTCCGCCCATAACACTACACCTTTTCTTCCAGGATCTCGTATCCTGGACCTGCCCAGCCAAACCCCGCCCCAAGCCTTACACTAGAAAAGTGGGTGCCACCTTGTCAGGAGCCACGATAAGGCCGCTGTATCTGGGAGTAGAGGACTAAGAGTCTGAGCGTCCACAAACGGAATTTAAGGAGAAGTAGGTAGCCGCGCCCTTTCTGCCTCAGTTTCTCTTAGGTATAGTAAATATTCCTGAGGGTTTGGTGTCTCCTAGCGGAAGAATAGAGAAAGCTGTGACTGGAGTACAGGACACTTGAATGCCTGTTCTCTAACACTCGATTTTGCAAGAGGGAGATCATGGCAGGGTTGCAAACAAAGGCGGAAGGAGTTAAGACACCTTCGGTATTACTGGGGCATCCCCTCGCCCACCGCGTGGCGCTCTTCCCAAAGCTGAGTCCTGATTGGAAGCTGAAGACTTAGGTTTCGGAGGGGCAGGACTTCGAGCCAATGGCGCTACACTCTGAAGGCCGCCTCCTCAGTAACTGGTCAGAGACAGGTAGGCTGTCGGGGCAGTCAGGCCAATGGGGCCGCAGTTCTTTTTTATTTATTATTATTCTTATTTTTGGAGGCAGGGTCTCACTTTGTCTCCCAGGCTGGAGTGCGGTGGCGGCGTCACTGTTTCTTGCAGCCCCCGACCTCCGGGCTCAGGCGATTCTCCCGCCTTAGTACAGGCGCGCGCCACCGCGTCCGGTTCGCGGGACTTATTTGACTTGTCAGGCGGGGATTGGGTTCTGCCAGACCAAAGGGAGGGGTAAGCGCCAGAATATGAACCGCCGGGAAGCTGGGGGAAAGCTCGGAGAAAGCCGGAGCAGCCTGGTTTGTCTTTGCGCGCCACGTGACTCGGAAGTTCGGGTTTCACTCTGGCAGGGAGTCAACAGGCAGCAGACCCCAGGGGAGCGGCGAGCCTGCCAGGCGGCAGGCGGCAGGCGCGCGATAGAGGTTTCCCCGGTCCGCAATCTAAGCAGTGTGCCACTGATGGAGAACCGCAGCTGCGCGCACACGCCCGCTGCACGCTGCTCATTCGCCGAGGGACACGGAGCAGGAAAATTGCAACAAGTTAAAAAGGCTTTTGCGTTTGGTTTGTTGTCCTATTGTTTGCATACAGTTACCGGCAACATTATGTCCCACATTTGTATAGTTTACAAAACGTTTTCATAAACATTGTTCTCTTACTTAATCCGTAGCAGCTCTAAGGCACTCAGGGCGGGTAATATTTTGCAAATTTTACCAATGAGGAGGCAGATCCATGACTAGAAAGTCGGGATCACGAGGTCAGGGTCACGCTGAAACCTCATCTCTACTAAAAATACAAAAAATTAGCCGGGTGTGGTGGCACGTGCCTGTATTCCCAGCTACTCGGGAGGCTGAGGCAGGAGAATCGCTTGAACCCAGGAGGTGGAGGTTGCAGCCAGCCGAGATTGTGCCATTGCACTCCCGATACTCCGTCTCAAAAGAAAGAAATATATATATATATATAGAGAGAGAGAGAGAGCACGCGGGCAAAACTCAGGATTTTTTTTTTTCTTTTTTTTGCCTTGGTTTAATGTCTGATGGTCCAGGAATTCACTTCAAGTAAAATAATGGAGCTAAACTGATAGAGGTATGGTTTCCCAGTAGTATTTCAGAAAAAGGTAGCTGGGTGAGTAATACTACTTCGGAGTGTGAATCCCAGAACTCAGACTGCTATTAATTATCCTTATGAAGATTTGAAACGGCTCAGGGTAAAAACAGGAACAGGGTCTAATATTTATTGTGCAATTATTACATGTCAGGCATGCTCATATTACTCATAATTCTTACAGCATCTAGAGCTGACAGAGGTCTAAGTAACTTACTTTCTCAAGGTTACCCTGTAGGTAGCTGAGCCAAGATTTGGATGCCTCAGCCCATGTTCTTCACACTATTAACCTACTTTGCGGGCTTTCTCAGATTTCTCATCTGTCTATCCTGTTCTTGTCTCTGTATCCTGCTCAAGTAGTGAAAAGACAAAGCAGCCTTCCTGGATTGATGCAGCGCTCCAAGGAAAGCAAAACTGTTCTTGCTGAGATCGTGCTGAATGGCTTAATCATATATATATATATATATTTATTTATTTATATATATATATATATATATATATATATTTGACAACTATGAAGTTAGAGCTTGGACCAGAATCCAGGTGTCCTGACCCCCAGTCATAATTCCTTGTTAATATTACCAATTACGAATAACTTTTTTTTTTTTTTTTTTTTTTGAGACGGGAGTTTCGATTTGTCACCCAGGCCGGAGTGCAATGGTGCGATCGATCTCGGCTCACTGCAACCTCCCCGTCCTGGGTTCAAGCGATTCTCCTGCCTCAGCCTCCCAAGTCGCTGGGATCACAGGCGGCCGCCACCGGGCCCAGCTAATTTTTGTATATTTAGTAGAGACGGGGTTTCACCATGTTGATTAAGCTGGTCTGGAACTCCTGACCTCAGGTAATCCACCCGCCTCGGGTTCCCAAAGGGATTACAGGCGTGAGCCACCGCGCCCCGCCCCGCCCCTTATTAAGTCTTCACATTCCCCCTTGAGGAATTGCTAGGCTCCATTTCTGGAGCCTTGTGAAAAGCATTCTGTCCCTTTTTTCTTCTTCTTTTTTTAAAATTATTTTTCCTGTAGGAAGCAAGATCCCATCTGTCCCTTCTTTAGGCAATGAAGCTTTTTTCATCTTTGCACAAAAGAATAGCTGAGCTCCCCCCTTTTAAATTTTCTTCTTTTGTCCTTACCATCCCTTGAGGCTAGAATAGGATTCTCATAGCACTGGGTTGTGGGCCACAAGAATCCATGATGAAGAAACGGTGAAGGTCCTGAGTTGAAACAACTACCTTGGGACAATCAAGGAACAGCAAACAGCAAGCCGGCCGGCAGGGGTGGCGGAAACCCGACTGCAGATCAGGTGGGAGAGCCGGCCAGAAGCCTGCAGGCGCGGTAGGCAGGTAGACTGGAATGCGCTGGGGGCTTCTCCGTGGGCGATGCTTCAGCACCTGGCAGCCGGGTCCCACCACGTCGCCACCCACTTGGAGAAGGCGGAGGCTGCACAGAGGCCATGAGTAGTCGAGAAGGAATGATTTTCTTTTCTTTTTTTTTTTTTTTTTTGAGACGGAGTTTCGCTCTTGTTACCCAGGCTGGAGTGCAATGGCGCGATCTCGGCTCACCGCAACCTCCGCCTCCTGGGTTCAGGCAATTCTCCTGCCTCAGCCTCCTGAGTAGCTGGGATTACAGGCACGAGCCACCATGCCCAGCTAGTTTTTTTGTATTTTTAGTAGAGACGGGGTTTCACCATGTTGACCAGGATGGTCTCGATCTCTCGACCTCGTGATCCACCCGCCTCGGCCTCCCAAAGTGCTGGGATTACAGGCTTGAGCCACCGCGCCCGGCCCGAGAAGGGATGATTTTCAAGACATACCCTCTCTTTGCTCTTCCCCTACTTCCAATTCTGCCTTGTCTTTTTCTTTGTTGTGGGTGCTGCCGGAAAGCAGGCGAGGAAGTTGTTCCCAAGAAGGGAATGCTTTTCCTCGGGCGCCAAGACGCACTGACCGGGCTCTCAGAGCCCTCTGAGAAATAGGTAAGACTTTGGCCCAAGGCCAGGAAGATGTCCTCAGATGTGGGTCGGAAGACTTGACGATGCGGGGTCTCCCTCTTTTAAAAATACCCATATAATCAAATCCACCGCTCCGGCCCCCAAACCTCCACAGATGCGCCCCCCGGCCGCAGCCCCGAGGTCCTCTTCCTAAATCTCCGCCCTCACTCTCGCTCACTCTCCTCTCGTGGCCTGCTCCGCCCGCTCCCACTCCCGGTCTCTAATTGCTCCTAACTCACGTCACTCCCGATCTGTCCCCGCCCACCCGGTGCTGCTATTGGCAGTCGGGCGTGGGTAAGCGGCGGCTGTGGGGGAGGGGGGAACGATGGGAGGGGGCGGGAGTTCCCGACTCTAGGCCGGAAGCGCGCGGAGACCATGTAGGGAGACCCTCGGGAGGTGAGTGCGGGCTCTCCGGGAGCGGGGTCCGGGTTGGCTGCCCAGGCCTGCCCGGGCCCGGGAGCATGAATCCCAGCACATATTCATCTGGTTTCCTCGACGCTGGCGGCCTCGCTCCCCGCCTCCTGGAGCCCGGACTTACAGGCACCGCCCTCGGTGTCGCCTCAGTCCGTCCCGGGACTGCAGACTCTTAGGGCCCCTCTTCCCTGTCCATCTGCCTCTCGGTCCCAGCCTAGGGCCTGAAAGCGCTTGCTCTTTGCGCTGGGAAAAGGGGAACGCAGCACCCAAGCTCATCCTGTCCAGGTGGTGCACGAAGCTACCCGTGACATCTCTCCACAGCCCAGCCACTTTGGCTTCGCTCACTCCTTTCGGGAGTTGGGAGGCCTGGCCTCTACCTTCCTCCAGGTCCTGTTTGGAGACGGGTCCTAGTTTCCTAGTTCTCTGGGGGCACCAGGTGGAAGGGTGATGAGATATCCACACAGCCTTTCTCATGCCTCAGTTTCCCCCTTGCGGTCACCCTCAATAAGTCACTTGGGAAAGAAAGTCTGAGAAGAGAGGACTGTTCCTGGTACAGGAGTGAATGAGTCACTCTGGGTTGGGGGAGGTCAGAAAGTGCCTGGGGCCAGGGAGCTGCCCTCTGCTGACCGAGCTTCCCCATTCCTTGCCCCGTCTTTCCTTGCATGATTTTTCCCCACTCACTCTGGTCTGTCTTCCTAGGTCTGAGAGTCACTGGAGCTACCAGAAGCACCATGGGGCCCTGGGGAGAGCCCGAACTCCTGGTGTGGCGCCCAGAGGCGATAGCTTCAGAGCCTCCAGTGCTTGTGGGGCTGGAGGTGAAGTTGGGGGCCCTGGTGCTGCTGCTGGTGCTCACCCTTCTCTGCAGCCTGGTGCCCATCTGTGTGCTGCGCAGGCCTGGAGCTAACCATGAAGCCTCAGGTAAGTCCCTCCTTTTCCCCATGCTGCCATGGACGCCTGGCTTAGGGAAGGCTGGGGCTGGGGGGGAGATACCAAAAGAGGAGGGAAAGGCAAGGGTAGCCATTGCTTGGGTTGGGGAGGTGGGCCCTGGAGGGGATTCGTTTGCTCATTCTCCTCTGTGCTTCACCCCTGCCCAGCTTCCCGCCAGAAAGCCCTGAGCTTAGTAAGCTGTTTTGCGGGGGGCGTCTTTTTGGCCACCTGTCTCCTGGACCTGCTGCCTGACTACCTGGCTGCTATAGATGAGGCCCTGGCAGCCTTGCACGTGACGGTGAGCACTGGCCTGGGCATGTGACATGCAGGAGGGAAATCACACACCTCTACAACTGTTGGTTTGTGGAAATCGATTCATGTGTCACTCCATGACTGTGTGAAAAGGCTTTTGGCATGTGGGCCTATGAATTGTGATTCTGGTTACAGGGCATATAATTCTTTTTCTATGTGTTCCCTCCCTCCTCCTCATTCCTTTTGTGACCCCTACATGCCCTTTGAGACAGTAAGAAACTTTTTCTCGGGTGTGTGACTTACTCTGTGGATTCTCAGTTCTAGCCACCAGGAAGCACTCTGAGAATCATCTTCACTCTCTCACCACTTTCCTAAAGGGCTGGAGACAAGAGGTCTCTGTAGGCCTGAAAAGGATAGGAGGTGATTCCCTGGGGACTGGTGTTGCTGACCTTTTTAGGCTTTGGCCCGAGGAAATGGCTATGAGGAATGATCAAGGCCTCGGCATAGGACTTGGATTATTATAGGACAAACAGACCGTTGGATAGTGGGGCAGGAAAGTCATCCTGAGCTCTTTCCTCTTTTTCCCCTAAATCTGAGGAAGTAACACTGGATGTAACCCTTTGTATGTCTGTGACTGAGTGACCTGTGTCTCCGTGTGACTGTGTATAAGCCTGAATGTCCTGTGATATGTGGCTCTGTGTGAGAGTATTTGGAGAGAGAGGCCAATGTGTGACGTTTTCATGTATGTCTACATCAGTGACTCTCAACTAGGAGTGTATCTTTGCCCCTCAGGAAACATTTGGTAATGTCTGGGGATATTTTTAGTTGTCACAACGGGGTGGGGGATGGAGGGAACATTGTGCCTGCTGTTGACATATGGTAGGTAGAGATCAGAAATCCTGTTTACCTACAGTGCACAGGACAGCTCCCATGACAAAGAATGATCTGGCCTAATATGTGGTTGGTTGGTTGTTTTTTTTTGAGACAGTCTCATTCTGTCTCCGAGGCTGGAGTGCAGTGGCACAATCTCGACTCACTGCAACCTCTGCCTCCCGGGTAGCTGGGATTACAGGTGTCTACCACCACGCCTGGCTAATTTTTATATTTTTAGTAGAGACAGGGTTTTACCATGTTGACCCGGCTGGTCTCGAACTCCTTACCTCAATAATCTGCCCACCTGGCCCTCCCAGAGTGCTAGGATTATAGGCATGAGCCACCGCACCTGGCCCCAAAATGTTAATAGTTCCAAAGCTGAGAAACTTTGGTCTACATGTAACACTGTGAGTGACACCAAACTCTATGTGTGTGTATCATTCTGTGTCATTGCTACCAACTCACTGTATCTTTGTGTAACCACGAGTAGCCCTGTGTCTGTATGGGAATCTAAGTCTGTGTAACTGGGTGTCCATCAGATTTTGCATCTCACTCTTTCTTCCCTGAACTTTTTGCTGCCCCTTCTGCCCACAGCTCCAGTTCCCGCTGCAAGAGTTCATCCTGGCCATGGGCTTCTTCCTGGTCCTGGTGATGGAGCAGATCACATTGGCTTACAAGGAGCAGTCAGGGCCGCCACCTCTGGAGGAAACCAGGGCTCTGCTGGGAACAGTGAACGGTGGGCCGCAGCATTGGCATGATGGGCCAGGGGTTCCACAGGCGAGTGGAGCCCCAGCAACCCCCTCAGCCTTGCGTGCCTGTGTACTGGTCTTCTCCCTGGCCCTCCACTCTGTGTTTGAGGGGCTGGCAGTAGGGCTGCAGCGAGACCGGGCTCGGGCCATGGAGCTGTGCCTGGCTTTGCTGCTCCACAAGGGGATCCTGGCTGTCAGTCTGTCCCTCCGGCTGCTGCAGAGCCACCTTAGGGCACAGGTGGTGGCTGGCTGTGGGATCCTCTTCTCATGCATGACACCTCTGGGCATCGGGCTGGGTGCAGCTCTGGCAGAGTCGGCAGGACCTCTGCACCAGCTGGCCCAGTCTGTGCTAGAGGGCATGGCGGCTGGCACCTTTCTCTATATCACCTTTCTAGAAATCCTGCCCCAGGAGCTGGCCAGTTCTGAGCAAAGGATCCTCAAGGTCATTCTGCTCCTAGCAGGCTTTGCCCTGCTCACTGGCCTGCTCTTCATCCAAATCTAGGGGGCTTCAAGAGAGGGGCAGGGGAGATTGATGATCACGCGCCCCTGTTCTCCCTTCCCTCCCCCAGTGTGTGGGGAGTAGGAAGGAATGGGGAAGGGAAGTACTGAGGACCAAAAAGTTCTCTGGGAGCTAAAGATAGAGCCTTTGGGGCTATCTGACTAATGAGAGGGAAGTGGGCAGACAAGAGGCTGGCCCCAGTCCCAAGGAACAAGAGATGGTCAAGTCGGTAGAGACATGATCAGGGGACATTAGGATTGGGGAAGACACTTGACTGCTAGAATCAGAGGTTGGACACTATACATAAGGACAGGCTGACATGGGAGGCTGGAGATGGGCACCAGCTGCTGTGGGACGGGGGTATGGAGGGGTCATAAACTTAGAGTCAGTGTCCTGTCGGTCCTAGCTCATTTCAACACCCTGCCACTTGGAGTGGAACCCTCCTACTTTTCTTAGCTCCTACCCTCATATCTATCTCCCTCTTCCCGTCTCCCAGGGGACTAGTGCCAAATGGTCTCTCCCTGCCAATTTTGGTATTTTCTCTGACCTCTCCAGTCCTGCTTACTCCTCTATTTTTAAAGTGCCAAACATCCCCTCCCTCTTTCTCAAAGCACAGTAATGTGGCACTGAGCCCTACCCAGCACCTCAGTGAAGGGGGCCTGCGTGTTCTTTATTTTGGTCCCAGATCCTGGGGTGGGGCAGAAATACTTGCTATGCTGGGGTAGGGGGAAGGTTGGAAAGCTGCAGCCACCTACTGCTGCTGCACCCTAGGAACATGGGACATGGACATGGTGCCCCATGCCCAGATGATAAACACTGAGCTGCCAAAACATTTTTTTAAATATACTCGAGGAGCCCAAGGGGGAAGGGCAATGCCTACCCCCAGGGTTATTTTTTGGGAGGGAGGGCTGTGCATAGGGTCATATTCTTTAGAATCTATTTTATTAACTGACCTGTTTCCCAAATAAAAGATGTTTCTAGACATCTGTACAGTATCTGACTCATTTTTCTTGGGAAAGGGGTGGGCATGTGGCCAGCCTGAGAGAAGGTCTGAGTCCCAGATGTTACCAGCTGTTGTAAGATTTTTGTTCTAATTTTCACTCAGGTTCCGATAGTGCCCTTTCCTGAAAGACCAAATGTTTCCTCCTTTGTGTCCTGGTACTTCTCTCCCGTTTTCCACCCTTCCCTTTCCCTCCTCTTCCCTCCCTTCTCCTCCCCTCCCCTCTACCTTTCCTCCTCCTTAATCCCTCTCCCCTTTGCGTTCGTAGGCTCAGGACTAATTTAGAACTACTCTTCCCAGCTTGCCTCTCGCAGGGAGTAGCCGAGAGGGTGGAGCGAAGTTCCCAGTTCCCGGAGTCAGGAGGGCTGCTGGGAACTGAAGTCCGTTTCCTCCCGGTGCCGTGTGACTGGGGACGTGAAGGAGTCTCGTAAACAAACTACAATTCCCGGCGGCCCCCGCGCGCAACAGGTCAGGGCTAGGCTGGGGCCGGGTTCGCGGTGCTAGCTGAGGCGGCGGTGGCTACGGCTGGAAGAGCCGGGCCGGAGCCGCGGCGGAGGCCGCGGCTGGTACTGGGAGGGTGGCAGGGAGGGACGGGGGAGGAAGATGGCGACGTCGGGGGCGAACGGGCCTGGCTCGGCCACATCCTCGGCTTCCAATCCGCGCAAATTTAGTGAGAAGATCGCGCTGCAGAAGCAGCGTCAGGCCGAGGAGACGGCGGCCTTCGAGGAGGTGATGATGGACATCGGCTCCACCCGGGTGAGGGGCCGCGCCGGGGTGCCGAACGGAGCTGAGCAGTTACGGAGCAGAGACCGGAGAGGCGGGGCGGGGGCGGGCGCCGCAGCCGAGTAGGCGGAACGGGGCAGGGGCCGCGGGCGAAGGCCGAGGGGCCGGAAGACGGATTTTGCCGGGGGAGACCGAAACTCCGGAGAGGTTGGGAGCGTAGAGAAGACTGGGGGCCGAGTAGGGGAGGCGGAGGTGGGCGGAGAGGGGAGATGGTCGCCTGAAGCCCGGCGGAGGTAGGAGGTGAGTGGTCCCTGTGCATCCCTGACGAGTCCCATCGAGGACGCCACTGAAGCATGCCTGCTATTGGGGTATGGCCTGGGAGGAGGACTGCTTGTCTCTAATCTGGCTCCTCTGAGTTTGTGATCTCCTCCAAACTGGTCCCTCTGCCCTATTGTGCTACTTTTCGCGCTTTGTGCCCCCGGGAGACGACCCTTTGAGTGGTTTGAACGAGAGGGGCTGTGTATAGTGGGGCAGGAAGTCCCCTCCAGCGTCCCGTCCTTTTGCTTCCTTTTTCAAATACTTCCTGTGGTTTCCTGACGTGAATGAAGGTGAGGTCCATTGCTTGGTGTTTTGCCTGGCATCCTTGGAGGAGAGGTAGGGTTTTGAATCCTTTATAAAACTGGTAACCGTTCGACCGTAAGTTGTGTGGCACTCTGTGGTTTGCTGAGCTTTCTAGGGAGATGGCTGTTTTATGGGTCAGTGTGTAGGGTGTCTTGGAGGGTCTTCTATTTGTAGGGAATATTCATTCCTAGGAAGTTCTTGAAAGAACTTTCAGGCCTCTGTCAGTCTGCCTCTGAAGCCCCCCTGGCCTTGGTTTCTTGCTTCCCAAGGCTGGATGTCAGAGGGAGCCAAGGGTGAGAGTCTGCCTATGTGGTATGCTGTCTTAATTTAAGGACACATTCTTCTAAAAAACAGTAGGTGAGGATGTTGCAGTGATTCCTCATGGCCGAGAGCTAGAAGGAATTTAAGGGTTGATGGTGAAACATTATTACATCGCCAGCCTTTTTCTGCTGGTCTGACTGTGTTTCATCTATGATTGTGACTCTGGTTGTATTTTTGTGTGTATCTCCCTTGACTGTTAGTCTTTTGTTGTTGTTCTTTCCCCTTTGAGTCTCTTGGGACCATGTGCCCTAGTTTGTGAGAGTCAGAAGTTGGATGGAGTGGCAAATCTAGGGGGTGTCTGTGCAGGCATGTGCACCCTTACATGCATGCATGTGCATAACCCACTGTAACCACAGTGAGGATTAATATTTAACTGTAGACTGCTCCCCTTTAGGAGCTTTTCATCATGTTGAGGACAGAGACAGGAAGATGGGAGGGAGGCTGATCTTGATAGCATGAGGCCCTGCCCTGGGGACTGTGATTCTAGCAGAGGCATGGTGGGATCTTAGGGCTCATATGTGCAAAGAAAGGCTGTGTGAAACTCAAAGCTGGGGCTTCTCTTTACAGTGCCTTGATCTCTTAAAAGGCCCCTTCTACCCACCTTGCTCCTGCTGGTTAATTTCTCATCTACACAGAAAAGTCTAGTCGGGCATACATGGCCGGGGACCCAAAAGTCTAGAGCTAGGGACAAGAGATTAGGGACTCAGCCTGTTATCTGGCCAGGTGGGAGGGCTCATTTGAGATAGATATGGCCACTGGGGGCTACACCACTGAGAGACAGGGGTTGCCACATATGTTATTAGTGGTCTTAAAGTGGGCCCAGAGGTTATAAGTGGTCTTAAAGTGCGCCCAGAGGTCAGCGCAGTACCCACTAAACTCACGAGGCTGACCTCCTGGGACAGAAGTCAGTTCTAATGTTGGTTTCTGTGTAAGAGTGTGACCCTGAAAGCTCTTAGAACTTCCCCCTCTCAGCTGCCCTCCCCATGGCCTTGCCCTGTGCCTGTTGATTTGACTGGTGGCAGGGCCTGAGCCTTGGAAATAGATGCTTGCCTCTCACAGAGATAGGACATCTGTACAGAGACTAAACTCATGCCGGGCTGTCTTACATCTATGCCAGACATATCTCCCCCAGAGTGAGGGTGAGACCAGGAAGATGGCTCTGGCCCATGCTGGAGTGAGCTACTGCTCTCTCTCCCACCCTCCTTCTCCAGGCTTCCCTGCCAAATCAGGAGCCTTAGGATTCAATGGAAGAATGCCCCTTGGTTTTATTGCTGTTTTCCAGCTAGGAGAGCTGTCATTCCTTGAATGTTCTAGTTTGGGAGGTGCAGGCTTTGTGTGACCTTCCTGAGGCTGGGCAAGTGGCAGAGCCGGGAAACCTCTGCTCTCCAGAGTGGGAAGGAATGAGTCTGGCAGTAATGGCTCTGTGACATCCACCTGCGGCCTTCCTCTTAATCTCTGAATTAGTCCTGGATGCGTCTGAAAAGAAAGCAGAGGTTTCGAATAGGCACTCCCCCTTGTGAGTAGCCCGGGGGCTCCTGGCAGCCACCTCAGGGACTCTGCTTAGACTGATGCCAAATGAGACAGGCCCCGAGCAGCAGAATATCTGGCTCTGCCTGGCAGGGTGATATCAAGCAGTAGTGATATCATCGATGAGGGCAGTTTGCAGATGGGCTCTGGTGGGTTATTTGCACCAGATCTCAGGGGACCTTTCAAACTCCAACACTGGCCTTTTTTCTGGCAGATTATTTCCTCTTTTTTTTTTTTTTTTTTTTTTTGAGACTGAGTTTCGCTCTTGTTGCACAGGCTGGAGTGCAATGGAGTGATCTCGGCTCACCGCAACCTCCGCCTCCCAGGTTCAAGCAATTCTCCTGCCTCGGCCTCCCAAGTAACTGGGATTATAGGCATGCACCACCAAGCCTGGCTAATTTTGTATTTTTGTTAGAGACAGGGTTTTTCCATGTTGGTCAGGCTGGTCTCAAACTTCTGATCTCAGGTGATCCACCTGTCTGGCAGATTATTTCATTATTTTTATTTACTTTTTTTTTTTTTTTTTTGGAGATAGGATCTCACTCTGTCATTCAGGCTGGACCACAGTGACATAAACATGGCTCACTGCAGCCTCTACCTCCTGGGCTCAGGTGATCTTCTTGTAGCAATGGATTCTGTGTTGCCCAGTCTAGTGTCTAATAGCTGGGCTCAAGTGATCCTCCCACCTCTGCCTCCCAAAGTGCTGGGATTACAGATGTGAGCTTCTGTGCCTGGTCCAAATATTTTAAAAAAAAGCAGTGGCAGCAGCAGCATATCCTGGTGACAGAGATGGGAAGGATGGCTGAAGGAAATAGTGCCCAGGACCTTCCTTACATTCCCACCTGTTCCCCATGTCTCAGTTACAGGCACAAAAACTGCGACTGGCATACACAAGGAGCTCTCATTATGGTGGATCTCTGCCTAATGTTAACCAGATTGAGTCTGGCCTGGCCGAGTTCCAGGTGAGTAGACACCAGCCAGGGAGGAGTGGAGGTTCTTAGGCTGCTTCCTCTGCTGATTTCTGTCTTTTTTGGCAGAGCCCCCTCCACTCACCTTTGGATTCGTCTCGGAGCACTCGGCACCATGGACTGGTGGAACGGGTGCAGCGAGATCCCCGAAGAATGGTGTCCCCACTTCGCCGATACCCCCGCCACATATCCTTTACTGGGGTTTGTGGGTATATGAAAGGTGGTGGGATAGAGTTCCTCAGGGACTCATAGGAAGGACCTGAAGTGTTGTGCAGTCCATCTTTCTCCTGGAGCTCTTCTTTTTTGTTTGTTTGTTTGTTTTAACCTGGCTTCTTTTCCTCTGTCAACTGATCTTTAAAAAAATGATAATAATAATTTTTTTTTTTTTTGAGACAGAGTTTCACTCTGTCACCAGGCACCAGGCTGGAGTGCAGTGGCGCGATCTTGGCTCACTGCAACCTCTGCCTCCCGGGTTCAAGCAATTCTGCCTCAGCCTCCCCAGTAGCTGGAACTACAGGTGCGTGCCACCATGCCCAGCTAATTTTTTGTATTTTTTAGTAGAGATGGGGTTTCACCATGTTGGCCTGGATGGTCTCCATCTCTTGACCTCGTGATCCGCCCGCCTCAGCTTCCCAAAGTGCTGGGATTACAGGCTTGAGCCACCGCGGCCGGCCTCCTGGAGCTCTTCTTTACCCAGCTTCCCTGAACAGTTACCAGAGCCCCTGCGTCCGCCTGCACCTGCACCTGTGATAAGGAGTTTCTGCTGCTGAGGCTGTGTCCCCTCTCTCCAGCTGGCTCTGGCTGTCCTCACGTCAGCTTGCTCTTTGC